TACTGTGAGCCAACACAGATGCTTGCAACAGAAGGGCATTTTAGGAAGAAAATAGAAGAAAGCTTTCCTAGTCTGTGATGTACGATATGCCAAGATATGCGCCACGCTTTCAACTTTCCTCAGGGTCGTTGTAACTTTTGATTGTGTATTTGTATCAAAAAAATGTTGCGGCACATGCAGTAGATCCTAATCTGTGCCTCCCAAGGCTAGCTAGGTACCGAGTGTCCAACCCTGAAATTATAGCTCTTGATGGTATTGTTTCTTGTACCTGTATAAAAAGAAGGATTTTTTCTGAACTTTTAATTTGTTTTGGTCATTTAATGTGGCCAGGAAGTGGGCGGAGCGGGATACGGCTGGCGTCAAAAGCTGGTCATAAATCTCGCCGTAGCAGTAAGCGCTGGCAACAAATCCACGTACACACTTTCCGGCTTTCAGACTTGCCTGAAAGTTTCAGAAATCAGATGGTCATAAAGTGCTTCCATGAATTTCTTTGCATTCAAAATCGTGTCGTTCAAGAGATCAGCTCATTTAGTGGAATTTTCGGGCGGTCGATAAAAGCACTAGGTTAAGATCAGTTGAAAAAACTCCTCACAAATGCTTCTTTTCACCGTAACTGATGAAACGATCGATTCGCTCGACTAAGTAACTCATAGAACTGATCAGTTATAAAGTTGATGTGGTACAACTGCGGGTTCCGGGTTGAAGAAATCCACGATTCTACGGCTCATTTGTTGTTTAAAATTGGGGAAATTTGTTCTTCTTCACTTTTCCAACGTTGTTGACACCACTGTGACATTGAGGCTTACAACAAACACATGTTATGGTAAAGTAAGTCTTTATTTGTCTATCTTATGGAGTTCTGCTGCGCTGAGGTGATCCGGTCCTCTTCTATTCAGTGAAGCCACTTCCATTTGCGGTACGGGTTGCGCGGTGCCTCAACCGCTTCATAAGAGGGTGCCTGAAAAATAAGTCTCGAAACTGGTTGTTCAGAGAATGCAGGGAGTGGGTGTAAGTGAGCTTGTTAGGGCTGGCTGACAGAGTGAAAGTTTTTCTCCGAGAGCTGGAATGCTAGAACGAGAGCCTAATGGAGGCGACGAGAAGTAATTCGCAGCTAGTCCATCCTCGTAGAAACTCACCCTTC